TAGGTTTATGTTCAGGATCAGATTCAGAATTGAACTTTTTATTTCTGTGTTGGGGTGACGTTCAGATTAAATTTCATTTTTCACCAGTTTGTTTTTTAAGCAATGCCTACAAAGTTTTTGAACGGATGGATTTTTGGAATTAGAATTCACGCTAAGAAAAGCTTCTTCAGCTGATACCCATTTAGAGAATATCCGTCTACTGCATGCTACTTTTTGCGAGCCTTCCTCCCTCTGCGCTATCGTCGCCCATATATCGTTTCAACATGCCTGTAAACCCACATACTTTCAGAAATGATTGCGGGGTCTACGATCCTGGACGGAACGCTGGCGCTTTGCATGCCAGCGTCTCCTCTCACTAAGATGCGTTGTTCACGTATTGTTCAAGCTGACAAATCATGCGACACTGCTCGGACGAAATAAGTTTGACCATGCCAGAGCTTTGTGTTGCTGGAAGGTGCAGCCAAGACGGAATACTGGGATTACGACATTTGTGATGTTTGTTTACATAATGTATTTTGAGATTTTCATTTCAGATCTGCGTGATCTGAAAGGCCTGGCCTTTATTGAGTTTTATTTTAGCTTTATGATTATCTCCAGTCAACTTTCAATCAATTGCTACAGGTGCAAGTACGCCACGTACCTTTAACAAAACCTTGCTTTTTTGAAAATCATAGCCCACAGCAAAACCAAACACTGGCACATCCCCCATATATTATTGCTGTTGTATATCATTGCTGTTGCGACCCCTTGCCGTTTTGAAACTAAGAAAATAAAACGCAACAGAAAACACCAATGGACTGGTTTCAACGAGATCTTGCGACTGGCAATGCTAGCATGCTTATAGGTCAGTAACTGACCCTATTATGCCAGGTCCAGAGTCAAATTTTCCCGAATTCCAACTTGCTCAGCCTCACACATTCACATTTACTTAGTCATACCACGTAGCAACACTAAATCTACACAACATTGTTACTTGTTCAATTATAAATACAATGGTACATAGTGTTAGGCGTTTTGACGATATATTCATGGTGCATGCCTCCGTTAATGTAACAACGTCGGCACGTTTGTGGTGTCAAAACACACAATGGATGACCCATAAGCTACAGAAAAGTTGGGTGCGAGTGCATGAAATTCCGAAAAGCTTTCTTCAGTAAACCTTAAGGGGTGCATCAACGCCCCTCCCATCAGAGCGAGGATTAATTGGAATGACACGATACGTACACGACGGAGATCAGGGGAGACTAATGATGAACTTGAGATCTCTCGTAGGGTTTTCGAGCATGTACGCTCACCTTCATCCGCTTAAAAGCACTAGTATCCACAGTGCCAATGGTACGTTCGCAGTCGCACGTCACATACACTTCCGCACAAAACATCGCAGCAAGACCAAAACCGATCAAAACAGCTGCTTTCTATTAACGAATTACCGTGACAATACACACGTCGTTGGCGCCACTGCAGCCGATGTTAACGCAATTCAACGTGTGCGACGATCCATGGTCCAAATCACATTGGCACGCAATAGTCTGCAGATAACGACAAGGGTGCCCCTACGCAAACAGTGAGTAAATGACTATGCACTTCTTAATGGTCGACGCTACCTATTACATGTCTAAAAGCTACGACGGCTCGGCATGCCACGCCATTTCTACAACACCGCTGCTGTAACGCGCATGGAGCAATGAGCTCATCACAACATTGCCAAGTCATAAACACACTGTGCGAATCTATGCATCGTCACGAAACCGCAAACCATATAATTAGCTCCCAAACTAGCCGATGAAGTAACGTGGATGACTAGACCAGACTCCCGAGACAACATTTTATGGCCACACCAATTACACTGGGTTGTTGGTGGTGATCCTATCACCTTACCTTGCATAAGCGACTTAGTAAACGTAGCGACTTCGCAACGTTTTTTCCCCTTTCTATACAAAAAATATTTTATCTGGTATCCCCAAACCCGTCACGTTGGAGAACACCCAGGTTTTTAAAGTTAATTCTCTAAGCCCAGCTCTAAAGGCGTATTATTAAGTTTAAAAAATTGACTTGTTCTCCTGGGCGGAGCTCAACAAACCGTTGTGAGCGTGCAAGCGATGCGGGTAAATAAATGGCAGGCTAGACCACACCCGGGCCTCTCTAGTTTGCTTGGTTGTTCGCTTGTTTGCAGTGGAATTCGTGAACTTCTCCCAGTCACAAAAACGTACTGTACCGAGCAATAGCTCAACATAATCGCAGCTCGAGACAAAAGCTAAGGTTAAGTACCCGAAGCATCGGCGTAATCTTGTTGGCAGTAACACAAACAAATCAGTTCTGTGAGTTGTCGCATAGCCTAAGCGCTGCCTAACCCACAACGATGTTGCTGAACCATCGCCCGATGCAGGACGTATCGAGCTAAGCAAGAAGCGTGCAAGAAACAATGCATTTTAGACGCCGACATAAACTTATGAAATCTCACACTACATCTAATGAATATTATGAATGCTTTCATTTGCAGTGTGTAGTTGTTCTTTGCGCTAGTTTCTCTCTGCGTTCCGCGCGATACCTCCAGCTAAATACTTCTTGTAACGAGGTATGAGTAAATACTTTCAGGATACTCCTTTGCATTTCAATCATGAACAGACTCAAGCGAGATCATTTGGTATTTGCTGTAAGATTTCCCCACGTGCGCCAGTAACCTGACTGCGGCCGACTCTTGTGAGTCGAGGCACCTGACTGTGTTCGCAAGTTGTCACGCGGGGCTACATCATAACGCATATTTTCTTGTAACTATAACCAAGGTGCAGAAACAACGTCAAGCGCCTAAAAACCAGCCTAGTGGCTGCCATTAACCTGCTCGAAATTCCCCAATCACATGTGGAAAGGGACTTCAAACGTGATTCACTTAAATGCCATATGATTGAGTGCATGACTGAGAATCTCTCTAATGAGACGGTAGCCTGACAATCGCGGGTCTTGCCATCAAATTCAGAGGCCAAATATGTAGCCTCTGCCCGTGACGTCCCGTTGGTGACCACCAGTTGCCAGTGGTGTATTTGTCGGTGTCTGCCAACTATGAATGGTAGACTCGCAAAAGAAGCGCATGTCTTTCTTCCCTTTGACACATTTGACATGCATGCAAACCTCTTGTACATGCATGGTTAGTAATTCCCAGCTGAAAGTGACACGTGTTGGATGAAGAGACATTGACAGGCGCGTTGGTGACCGCGGACTATACGAGATACTGCCCCCTTCCCTGGCCCCAATACCAGCACTACAGTTTGCTTGTTGGCCGTGCCATGCTGCACCATACCTGTCCATTACTCAAGCACAACACGCACCAACGTCATGGGAAAGTCTCGGCCTCGTGCGCCGTCCTGCACTCCCACATGTCCTGCAACCGCCTCTTGTAAAACCGCCTCCAACAGAGGGTCTTTATTGAATCATGACCTATACCAATAGTACAGGTCATGGACCAATCGGCATAGAGAACAGATTGGAATATGGCCTGGTCAAGAGGTGTTCTTTTGATCAGGAGCCAAACAGCCTGCTGCCCCTCTGATGAAAAATCAGCAGCAGGTATTGCCCGGCTGAGGCAGTCCTATCTGAGGCAAGCATTAGTCTGCAATATCTTGAGTCTACGATGTATCATCACGACCCACCTCACTACGAGTATGCCTCCCAGCCATTTGCATCCATCTGCACAAACCCATGAATCATCGCTGAGATGACTACCGGCACCACCATTCGCCTGAGCCTCAACATGGAGCGGAGGTCCAACATAGGCAGCCCGTCTCCCACCTGAGCTTCCACATCGCTCTGTGGGGCCTGCCGAGTCTCCCCCAGGTCGGAGCGGAGGTCCAACACAGGCGGCCCGTCTCCCACCTGAGCCTCGACATCGCTCTGTGGGGCCTGCCGAGTCTCCCCCAGGTCGGAGTGGAGGTCCAACACAGGCGGCCCGTCTCCCACCTGCGCTTCCACATCGCTCTGTGGGACCTGCCGAGGCTCCCCCAGGTCGGAGCGGAGGTCCGACACAGGCAGCCCGTCTCCCACCTGAGCCTCGACCTCGCTCTGTGGGGCCTGCCGAGTCTCCCCCAGGTCGGAGCGGAGGTCCGGCACAGGCAGCCCGTCGTCTCCCACCTGAGCCTCGACATCGCTCTGAGGGGCCTGCCGAGTCTCTCCCAGGTCGGAGCGGAGGTCCGACACAGGCAGCCCGTCTCCCACCTGAGCCTCGACATCGCTCTGTGGGGCCTGCCGAGTCTCCCCCAGGTCGGAGCGGAGGTCCGGCACAGGCAGCCCGTCTCCCACCTGAGCCTCGACATCGCTCTGTGCGACCCGCCGATATTCCTGTCCCCAGCTCGAAGCGGAGGCCCCACACAGGCAGTCCGTCTCCCACCTGAGCCTGGACATCGCTCTGCGGGACCCACCCTGCTACTTCCCATATTACATATAAGAGCCTGTGCTGCTGCGAGCGGCTCGCGCATGTGTGTGTCCACACGAACCACCATAACGCTCGGAAACATCGACTGTTCCGAGCTGAAGGTGCCCAGTTCTTCCCAAGAGATCCCTGGGTGCGGTGGTTGCTCACCCCACCGCACATCCGCAAATGACGATGATCAACCTCACGTTAGCGCCGGGGCGGAGTTGAACAATACCCTCATGTGACCTCTCGGACCAGGCGATTGCCAGTTCCAGGGTACCTGCATAAAGCACTGTAGTTCCGTTGCAATTAACTTGAATAAGTTGGGAAGAATAACGGGACATTTTTTTGAATTAGTGCTGAGTTACTGCTGTTGCTGTTGTCAACTGGTGGCCCGAGTTTCGGCTTTCATCGTTGATCAAATGCGAGTACCTGCAAATGGCGACAAATAATGCAAACGAGGTAACCGGACAAAAAGTGCACCTGCAGTGACACTGCGGACCCGGGGATATTGCAACTGAATATCTTTTTCGTGTCTAACAAACGGATGTTCTAAGTTTGAAAGCTAAGACACATATTTGAGGTCAAGTCGGGGACGGTTGTGTATAAAGTCATACTATAATGTTCCTATTCTTCAAACATTACCACGCCACGACCAAATATCACTGTCAATTGCGGACACCCGGCGGTCCCGTGTCACTCGGGGCCGAACGTGACAGACAGCCACGACTCGTCCTCGAGAGCCGTGCCGCAGGCTCAGCCCCCCGACGGCGGGTCCCGGCAGGTGAGGATGTAGAAGACCTTGATGTAGGCGGCGCGGAACTCAGCACTGCTGATGCCGTACAGCACGGGGTTTACCGCCGAGTTGATGTACGCCATCCAGTAGGAGAACTCGACGAACCAGCCGGGGAAGAAGTCTGGATACCATGCGCTTATCTGCAAGAGAATAAACGTTTCCCATGCGGTCGGATATTACATTCAAAGCATTACATATGACCAATAGAAGCGTTTACAAAAAAGCAAAACAATCGAGCTGTTTAGATATTTGAACAACAGGGTCAAGTATCGTATTGATGCCCCACCACGATTCGGCAGATCGTGGTGAGGATCGATGCCAAGATACGAACCACTAACACACTTTCGGTGGGCTAGGGGGACAGGGGTCCATGAGTAGGGTCTGTCTGGGATCGAAGCCAACGTTCCGACACGCAACCCTCACATCGACACCTGGCGCTTAGATCAGGCTCGCCTCTGAGCTCACACTCCAATTCGAACGCTCTGATCTAAAGCAACATTGTAGTTATGCTTGCACTGGGCGTTGGGTTACTTGATTGCTTTATCCGCGGAGAGTTGTGACAACAAAAACCTGGCATAAATGCAATGATTCGTCCAGCTACCGAAGATCGACGCCGTGCCACATTCCTGGTGTTCTGAGTGATCAGTTTGGTTCACTCAGGAAAATGTTTCGCTCTGAATGCGCTGTTGTCGGCTTCAAACCATGCTGCGTATGATGGAATATGCGGTAATGCTGGTTAGGGACACTGAATGCAAATTTGTGTCAACATTGCTACGAAATATACATTAACAAGCTGTTTGGTTGGCTTACCACGAAGAGCAGATAGAACGGTACCCAGCAGACTGTAAAGACACCAATAATGGATAGAAGCGTCATCACAGCCTTCTGTTCCCGTTTTCTTCTCATCTCTTCCTTCTCGTCGACAACGGCTACTGCCTTCTTTTCTTCTCCGCCTCCTTCCACCTGGGCACATACACCAAACATTTAAGCAAACTGAAGCTACTAAAACTGTAGCCCACCAGCTGCAGATGTCCGCCAATAGCGGCTTGTGTTGATGAAATTGCAGCGTTCCATTCAGGAACCCCTGCTACGGCTTCGGCGGGCGCAAGATCGCAAATAATATTTTGTCTGAAGCTATGCTTCTTAGTCACCAGGCCTTCTGGTCTGACAGCATAAAACAAAGTCCACCGTCGCCCTATGGAATTTTGCTCCGAGCATATATTTTTATTTTATTGTAAGTTCAGAGTTCTTACGCTGCCGTTGTCGACCTTCAATATACAGGGAGGTGCTGGTTGCTCGATGTCATCAAGCAAACATTGATTTCAGCACTTGACGTATGAAACGTCGAGTGTGTCTGACGTTTGAAACGTCAATCGTGATTGAGAAATTGAAACGCCGAATGCGACAGCATGACCAATGTTTGATTGATACCTGGGTTTCAGCATTACCTCCTGGTATATTCAAAGCCGATAGCTACCAGCATACAAATTCTGAGAATTCATAATGACGGTGAACCGGGAGCTTAAAGCGTTTCTTGCTGATGCCAAGTAATATTACTTTTAAATTGGTTGAACTCCAGTGTAGTGATTCTTTATCATTCTCAACCTGACAAACAAAACTTTTTATCACAGCCCGGAGGGTACACGAAATAAGGCATCAGTCGCGGGTTCGTAGGTGATGATGAGGGGCCGGGCTTATTGATTGCTATAGCACAAAACATTCTATTCGAGCACCCACAAAGTGTATCCCATAAAAAGGATGGCACCATCACATGACTTCCTCTTAGTCCCAACATTCCTTTCTCCTGGTTAATCCTTAGAGAATATCTCCACCTGCGCACCATAGACAAGAAGCAGCAACGACACGTCTCTTTGCGATACCTCTCGGGGAAGTCAGTTCACAAATCATCATAACAAACGCACCGTCGCAACCTGCACCACCTTGCTGTCTCGGATCTTGCGGGCCCGTTTCTTCATCACGTAGAGGATTCGGCTGTACGCGCCAATCATGGTGAAAAAGGGTAGGTAGTAGCCCAGAAAGCCGACGTAGATTACCTGGCGAATGCAAACAATTCGGTACACAAGATGCAGAACTAAGCAGCCTTACACAAATGGAGGACATTTGGTAACACAGCGCATCGTAACTGATGTATAACTCCGTGAATAGAAGACATTCGATTCACACCATCCGTCCTGCTCATGCTATTACATCCCTGTGCATAATGCATTCAACATCCGTTATTTATCCATTTTACGTTCTTATTCTCAAGTACAGGTCGACCAATTATGTCCACTACAGAGGCTATGTTTCGTACCGTCACATTTTAAGGCAACGGAAAGCACTAGCATGCTGGTCCCTGTAAAACGCCGCGAATTCGGCGTATGTTGACAGTGCTAGAGCCGGCTGAAGGTCGGCCTCGGCTAACAACAATGCGACCGAGGTCTGTCTGCCTCTTAAAACTCTCAAGTTGGCTTGAGTTTTTCGAATCACGTTTGGGGAGGAAGGGATAGGTCATCCACTTTGATAATTTCAGCATCATGGTAAGTCATGGCACACAGCAAGGAAGGGGTGGGCCCCTGACTTTGGTAATTTCAGCATCATGGTAAGTCATGGCACACAGCAAGGAAGGGGTGGGCCCCTGACTTTGGTAATTTCAGCATCATGGTAAGTCATGGCACACGTAGCAAGGCATGAACACAAAGCATTGTTAATATCACCGATCCCATACTAGTTTGTGGCTTTGGAACCCATCGAGTCGCGCTAGTTTCTTCGTCAGGCTCCCCCAGCGGTTGGGCGGGCGTCGCTCGGCACTCACCAGGTAGCGGTTGCGTAGCGGGTCCCAGTAGCACTCGCCCACGGCGTACGCGTTGGCCACCCTGTCGTAAATGAAGGCCGGCAGCCAGATCGTGTTGACGACGCACCAGGTGAGGCCCAGCAGGATCAGACACTTCTTGACGCTGTACGTGTTGCGGTAGTGCGTGGACCACGTGACCGACCAAAATCGGTCAATACTGCCGGAGAGGCGGAGCCACAGTCAGGAGAGGCGTGGCATGGTGAACAGCGTAACAGGGTGTATGGTACGGTGACCTAGAGAGTAATGGGACAAGTGACACAGTAAGACAGAAGGTTAGGGAGCACATGGCAAGGCGAGACAGAGCTTGCTGTAGGTGGTGTGTAAGGGAGCACATGGCACGGTGAGACAGAGCTTGCTGTAGGTTGGTATGTGAGGGAGCACATGGCAAGGTGAGACAGAGCTTGTTGTAGGTTGGTATGTGAGGGAGCACATGGCAAGGTGAGACAGAGCTTGCTGTAGGTGGTATGTAAGGGAGCACATGGCACGGTGAGACAGAGCTTGCTGTAGGTTGGTATGTGAGGGAGCACATGGCAAGGTGAGACAGAGCTTGTAGGTTGGTATGGCCGCGTCACGGCTTAGGTCGTAGAAATGCCGGCCGTAGTACGATTGTGATGCACGTTACAGCAGCTGTGTTGCGGTGGTAACAGGACGATGTTGACCATGTTACAATGCATACGTATAGCTGTGGTAAAGGGATGGCGCCAGCCAGCAGCACGAGAGTGCTTCAGGTTACAGGATTTCGAAGGGAGTTTGGCTGATTCGGAGGGAATGTGAAGGCATGTGAGCAGTGAAATATGTACGGTGACCTGATCACTATCAGCGGTCAATACTGGACAAATTTACAGGTAATGTCGTCCCATGCAAGAGTCAACCTATCGCAATTCATTCAAGAGAACAGACCGTGTCGAAAGTGAATCCAGAGTGATTTATATATTACAACTGAGGCGCCCAGTGAACCGGAACCTGCGGCTTTGTGCAGCCCGTCGGCGGCCGGTGTGAACAACTCCCAGCTGCCACGCACTGACCCCATGAGACCGGCCCCCGCCAGGTCTGCGACACCCTGCCTGTCGGCGACGCACCGATCCCAGCATGCCAGTTAACCAACGGCGAGTTCAGCTCTGACCTCCGGGTGTGAAGGGTCGCTTGACACTCCGTAAAGTGTTTGTCGGTGGCTATCCGCCGCCATGGGGTGGACCGTTCGCGTGATCCCACCGCTACTGGCACGAGTTGGGTGACCATCATGCGACCAGTAACGCGCCGGCGAGGGAGGCCCCGCGGCCAATAAAGCCTTTGGCACCGAGCTTCGGCCGGGCTAACGGCGTGCCGTCCTCTGGGACATCCGAGCAATCACAGCCGGGTTTTCCGTGGCGACACGCCGAAGTCCTCACCTGATGGTCATCAACGTGAACACCGACTCGAACGTCATGGTGTAGTCGCTCCACACCCAGTAGCCACAAACAAAGGTGCTGAACGGGAAGTAGCCGTACAGGTTGTAGATGGCGAACAGTGACATCACTGAAATGCCCACGTTCATATCCGTGATGGCCAGATTGACGATATAATAGTTGAAGGGCGTCTGCAACTTCTTCTCCATCTTGACGGACAGTACCACGAGCAGGTTTCCGAAGATTGTTTCCAACATGACGAGCAACTGGAACACGAACAGCAGCGCCTTGGACGTACTCCACACGACGCCGCCCAGCTCGCCGGCATCCGCCGCCGTGTCGTTCATGGCTGACGCTACGCTGCAGCTCCCGGGTCGCGCGAGCTCAGTGTGGGCGGACGTCGCCTCGCCGGAGGGGCGCTGACGGTCTGCCTCGAGAGCCGCCGCTCCACTGCGTCGAGGCCACCGGCCGCCGGGGGAAGAGGCCACCCGATTGCCAATGGCACCACAAAACACCTGCCCCCGGCCCGGCCTCAGCTCGGCCGCTGCTCGATTATGCATTCGAGCGGTGTTTCGCGTGTGGAGCGCGCGGCTAAAAATACGAACGCGCCGCGTTTTAGGCACGCACACACGCGGGACGCCGACAGCGCGGCGATGACCTGTGCCGATCTGGCGGGTAACGGTGACACTCCCGTCAGCGAAAATAGCGCCATTAATGGATCGCTATCACGCCACAAAGAACCGGTCTGGTCTCAGTGCTCAGATGTCAGGTCTCTTCGTCGAACTCTTAACGACTGGTCCGCAGGAAGGGAAAGTCCGACTGCAAAGGATAAATCTGTATTTAGGCCTTCAAATGTTAAACAAATGATGGCTACCCCGGCCAGGCATAAACGCGTAATAATCAACGCAAAAAGCCAAACGAACAACAAACTCAATGCACACCGCTAGCAGCTCAAAGTACCCCAAAATATCAGGTTGCAGAAAGCACCTTCCCGCAAAATCGGCGTACAAGTGTGATGCGTAACTCGGCGCGTATATATAGGTACATCTCCGTGAACGTTACCCCAGTTTCATAATAGCTATACAATGCGGAGTCACTCGCGCACTGGCCCTACAACGTTTCAGAGTTCTGAAGTTCACAGCTTGTTTCACCCGCAGCGGCTGTGGTGGTGGCGGCCACTAGCGCCCATAGCGGCGGTCGGTGCAACCACTAGTCCCCGACTCCGCCGATGGCAGCGCGCAGATCGCTGGGTCCCGTGTCGCTTTGCGCCGCCTTGCTGGGCTGGTCGGCCGCGGCCGCCTTGGCGCCGTTGCTACGGCACGGCGGCGGCTCAGACGGCGGCGCCAGCAGCAGGCGCGTCTCGGCCGTCTGCAGGTGCGACTTGGAGGCGACGTAGCGCTCCTCCAGCGCCTGCCGGGAGCGTAAGCCTGTCAGACGAACGGACGGACAAGTACAATAATGAGTGGTGCAATAAATAAGTGCAATAATGAGTGGAAAAGTGCTATACACCATGGTCGGCGCATCTTTCCCGGAACGTGTCTGGTTTGCTCGTGAGGGGTGCCTCTCCCGACATCGACCAACCAGAGTCCACTCTTCACCCTCCAGCGTCTCTCCAACCGGGGAGGCCGGCGACACGGGGTCGCCGGCGCTACAGCTGCCGGCGGTGCGGCGGGCGCCGCGTACGCATACGAAGCATCCGAACCCGTTGCCGGTCTGCAAGTCAACCCAAATGGGTGGAGAATTGCAATAAACTGAGCCAGGTTGACACGGTCTGAGCTGATCTCACGATGAACCGCGTTTAAGTGGGAACGAGTCACTGCACTCGCGTAAGACACTCCAAGATGTGAGCTTTGGTAAATCTCCCGCGCCTCTCGAAAAGAGATGCGCCGGGAGCACTTGATGGAGATGATCCCTTTCTCTCGAGAGTACGCCGGACAAGCACGGTCAAATGTCGACAGAGCATAGGGTTGGGAATGTGCACGCGAACTTGCATTTTCAAGTAACCGGCGACTATTTCTAAAGGAAGATCCACACACTTGAAAGCAAGGATAATATTGTTTGTTGGGACCAGGTGCTCTCCTCTCCGGACCCTGACCCGATGAGCTTCCACGACACCGAAGCCAGACAGACCACCTACGATATCCTCATCGCTGACACCCTCCAGGTCAAAACAGTTAAAAATTCCGCGAGAACGGTTTTTCGTTTCGTGAGCAGTCACCGTGATGGGCAAAGTGACATCTCGCCTTCCATCTTGATCTCTGACCGTGTATGTAAATAAAGTTGCTTTCATTGTCATTTCCGCTTCCGCTCCATTAAAAAATTCCACCTCGATCGCTCCATTTCTGAGTTTGACACAGCGCGTCACCTTGCCAAGCCGATCACATCTGCTACGCCGCTGAAAGGGCGACAGACTGGACAAATATTTTTCGCTGCTGGAAAGCACGAGAATCCGGGGGCAAGACTGAGCAGCCTGCCTGGCAGTCCCCGGTACTCCCACTCTCCCACCTCTAGTCCGCTCCAACGGGGTGGAGCGGGAACCAGTCCGTGGCAGTGGCATTTCAGCGATGCCAGAGGGACCGCTTCGCCCCTCCGTTGAAGCAGAGGGACGGTCGTCCATCGTCGTTAGCCGAGCCGTTTGAGCTAACGTGTCATATCCGTTGGAGTTGGTTGAATGAGAATCCATGCGAATTTTCGGAAGCATTCGGCACCGGGGCTCCCCACCCACCACGGAGCCCAGCTGGGGGACGGTCCAACACTCCCTTGAGAGGTGGCCGCCGCCAGGGCTACCCCGGTGCTATACGGGGCAAACGACGCCTCCCACACGGTCAGGTGTAACCGGGAGACACTCCCCGACCTGACCGTTGTTCAGCGCCGCCGCCCCTTGGCCCCTTAAGCCGCTGCGCACGGCCATGTGCCCCAAGCGGAGATCCGCACGGAGCATTCAGCCGTAGCGCGAGCAACAAGCCGCTACACCCGCATGGGGCCCCACGGCACCCGCGCCCCTGGATATCCTGGTCAAAGTGGAGTATTGGGACGCGCCGTGTTTGACCCGTACGACGCGGCCCTCAGCCACCAGGATCCGATCAACCCGGGGACGCCAGCGAGGGGGCACGGCGACCCCGATAAAACAAGGATTAGGAGTGAGGGCGAGCCGGATGCAGGAAAGCGGGTAGTGGGAAGGGAGCGGGCGGGACAAAGAGCGGGAGCCCACGTACCGGCGGGTCGCTACGCCCTGAAAGGAACAGCTTGCGCTGTCCACCCGTTACCGGAGCTGGGACCCGAGGGGGCGCTAATCCCCTTCACCGGTCGAAGCCTGGGGGCACAGCCGACACCGTTTGAAGTTTTGGATCCGTCCGTATAAGTTATTTGTGTCCCCAGCACGACGCCACGCGCTCTAGCCCCATGCAACGGAACAAGTCAGGGTGCCAGGGTATGTTCCCTTGTTTCAGGCCAGCGAAGCGCCTACTCTGGGCGAAATCAGAAGCCATGGACGATATGGCTATATGCTGCACCTGCATCACGCTGCAAACAGGAATGCTACTGGCATCAAGCAGAGGGCTTATCCCAGCGCAAAAAGGGACGGAATGTTGATCCGGACCACCATGAAACACAGCTGGTGTTCGACGCGAGAAAACTGTATCATATGTCGGGTGAAAAGGGAATTGCCGCAGCTTAGGAGCATATCTCAGGCCAAGCATTTCTCGCCTAGCCGAAGGCGGCGGTTCGTTGACCTCAACAAGGAAGCTTGCGACAGGCGACGTTCGAAACGCTCCTGTGATGATACGGAGCACTGTGTGGTGGATAGTGTCCGAAGGACGCTTGCTTGACTCACTTGCGCTGTCATATACGAACCATGTGTAATCAAGCCTAGAACGGATAAGTGAACGACATAAAAGCATGAGCGTTTTCCTATCCGCACCATATGACACACGTGCCATACATTTCAAAAGGTTCAAAGCTTTAAAGCATCTGTCTCGTATGATTTTAAAATGCGCCTTACACGTGACAACTGTCGAGATATACCCCAATGCATCTGGTTACCGACTCAATAGGAATGGGCTGGTCGTAAAGACGGCGAGTCAAACCACCACATTGACGGTGGCGAGAGAAGTGCGTGGCGACCGCTTTCGCTGTGGAAAAGCAAAACCCAATAATGGTGCTGCACCTCTTCAAAAGGTTAACGGTCAGCTGGAGCTGGCGCTCCATTACATGCGGTCCCGATGCGCTGGTCCATATGGTAAAATCATCTGCGAAGAGAGCGCGGCCGACTGACTGGGGCATGACGCCAACAACGTCGTTTATCATGATAGAAAAAATCGCCACACTTAAAACACTCCCCTGAGGCACACCATCCACCTGTTGAAAAGGTGCTGACACCTCACTACCCACACGCACACGGAAGAAGCGTTCAGCCACGAAATTTTCCAAAAATGTGGCCATTATGACCACGTATGCCATGCTTGAAGAGTGCCAAGAGGATACTTCATCACCATGTGGTATCGTAAGCGGCTTCAATATCGAAAAAGGCGGCACTTACATGACGTTTCCCTGTCAAACCTTGCCGACTCCTAGCATCGAGTGTTAAACGGTGGTCCACCGTACTACGATTCTTCCTAAAACCGCACTGTGCGTCAGTAAAAATGTCATGCTGTTCTAAGAGCCACAGGAGTCGGACACTGGCCGTTTTCTCCATCAACTTAGAGAGTGACGATGTAAGTGCGATGGGTTGATAATGTAAGGGATTTAAACCACTCTTCCCTGGTTTCAAAAGAGAGACCACAGTAGCCTGTCGTCATGAGACCGGACAGTCGTCCCTAAGTGAATTAAGGATTAACCCGAACTAACAAAAAACTAACCCAAAGTGACTTCATGATTGTCAGCAAGACTTCCAACGTGCTTTCAGGAAGATGCTGAAGCATGTTGTTATGCACATCATCAGGACCTCTCTGACACGCATCGCAGCATGCCAACAGGCTTTGATTCAACCACGATAAAGGGACCATTATACGACATGTGTTCGGCACAAGGAAAGTCCATGCGTCCTTCTTCGTGTCGCATTCTTTGGCAAACAAACCACCGTTCCGTACTGACACCACGGCTGCGCTCCGAGATTGCTCGGCCGATCTCGTTTGCAACATCCACTGGGCGTATGACACCCCGGCCATTTACATGTAGTACAGGGAGTGGGGTAGAGCAGAACTGACCGGAAATTCGCTTGATCCGTGACCAGACCTGGGCAGTAGGTGTGAGACGGGTAAGTGTGCAGACGTAATCACGCCACAAATTGCGCTTCGCCTCCATGATCGCTCGACGCGCGAATGCCCTTGCTTTCCTAAACGCAATCAGATTGGCCGTGCTGTTCCTCCGATCGAAAGCTCGAGAAGCGCGTTTTCGCGCACGGATGGCGTCACGACACTCATTCATCCACCACGGAACGGGCGTGCAGCGTGGATTGCATGAGGTGCGGGGGATGCACCCGCCAGCACATTTCAAAAGCGGGACATTAAAATCCTCTGCAGAGGTTGACACACTGTCAAGATGTGTGGAATCCGACGCCTCCAGTCGAGTTTCAAAGTTCTTCCAATCGGCCTTTTTAAAATTACAAAGCTGGGTTCTGGTAGCTGGAACCTCTGCGCTACGGAATCTCAACGACACCGGAAAATGGTCACTTCCTTGTGGATCGTCGGCCACTGTCCACTCCAGGTGCGGCGCAAGCTGCGGGCTAGAAAGACTGAGATCAAGGGTTGATGTCCGTCCGGAAGGACGAGTTAAATGCGTCGGCTGCCAGGTGTTTGGAATACACAGGGAAGCGTCGTGGATAAAGCCTTCGCACAACCTCCCGCGTGTGTTTGTTTCATCACAGTCCCAGGCGGTGTGATGGGCGTTAAGGTCTCCTAACACTAAAAACGGCGGAGGAAGCTCAACCATCAGGCGCTTGAGTCCCAATGATGGAAAACTGGCGCCAGGTGGCAGGTACAATGAGCAGACTGTGGTGTTGCAACTGTTGAAATGAACACGTACTACTACAATCTGAAGCGACAATTTTGTGTCAAGTCTTCGGGCTGGCACGCTGTAATGAACGGCCCGGAGAACACCACCGTGCACAACAGCGTCAGCGGACATGTCCCTGCGGAAAACTGCCGAACCTTTTCAATGCGAAGTAGGAGTTCGGCGCCAGCTTTCTTTCTTGCAGAGCTACAGCTGCGGGACCCTCCGGCCAGCCTCAGAATTAGAAGAGTCTCACACTAAAAAGACGATATTTAACGAAATTGCACCGCTCCAAATAAAGCGCCAGATACCTCTGACCTGGAACCCTGTTCCACAGATCTGTGCCCCAGCCCGGGGCGGGACCTTGGGCTACCCCCGTCACCTGGAGACAGGGGCCCAGACGGGACGCGCTTGGTGCCAGCAAATCCTGAGCGTGGTGATGGCGGAGGGGGGATCACTGAGCTCCTGCCCACCACCTGGTGCCGAGATGGAGCCTCAACCGGTCTTCGTGGTGAGGGAGTATTGCTCCGGAGGCAGGCTCCTTTCCCGCCCCTGACAGCCTATTGGCTGCTTTGGCCGGTTCCTGCTCCGCCAGGCGTGCGCTTAGCCTCACGAGCGCGTCTGTCTGCCTCGTGGCGCTCTAGGGTCCCAAGCACTCGTCCAGAAGTGCTCGCAACGGGTGTCACCGGAGACGACGGCAGCTGGGCGCCGGATGGTGAGGCCGGCGAAGTCCGCAGGTCCCGGTCGCGCTGAACGACCGTCCATCCCTCCCTCTCCATCGGCGCGTCAGATGACGCCGCGGGGCTCGGCACCACGACAGGTACCGGGCACTCCGGCACCGAGGAGGTGGTCGCGGGGTCCATCTGGTTCACCGGGCGTCCGTCCCGCCGACACCATCGCCACGGTGGCCACAGCGGAGCTGGCCGCAGATAGAGGCGGCGATTCTGCCTGTTGTGTCGAGGTGTCCAGAGAAGTCGAATGCGGACAAAAGCCAATGGCAACACAGACAAACCGAAGGTTTTGAGGAGCTGAATAAGCTATGGGGCAGTCATCTGGTCCACCCGATTGCTATGTGGGGCTTGCAGTTTGGTCTTTGATGCACAACTGACCTTCGGATGGCTCTCTTCGTATGACCCCCTTGCCTCACGGAACGATATTTGCTTAGTGAGTTTCAGTGTGATTATCTCTTTCTCTTTGGCATAAGCGGTACAGGACCTATCGAACGTGGAGTGAGGGAACTGCTCTTCACCACAGTTTGCACACCATGGTTGGTCTGCGGTACAGTCGTCTATTGCATGGTCTGGTGAGGAACACTTACCACAAACAGCCTGCTTGCGCCAGGTGGTCCTTGCATGCCCAAACCGCTGACAACCGAAACATCCCATAGGGTTGGGAATAAAACGGCTCACTTTCACCCTCACATAGCCCAGTCTGATGTCCTGCGGTAGGTCAGTTCTATCAAAGGTAAGGACGATGTTGTTCGTAGGAATCAAGTCAGCACCACGCCGCACCTTGATCCGAAGACCGTCAGAAACCCAAAACTCGGCCAATCCTTCGACGATCTGCTCTTCACTCATACCCTTTAGGTCAAAACAATTAATCATGCCATTGGCATAATTTTTTGTCTTATGTATCTCTGCAGTCAAGGCGAGATACGTCTCGCTTACCCTATGCGTCCCACGCACTGCACACGAAAAGTGTAGCATCTATTTCTCGCTCAGCATTCTCTCCGTTGTTAAATTCCACCTCTCTGCTGCCGTCTCGAAGTTAATCGCATCGCACCACTGCGCCAAAACGGTCGCATCCATTCCAACGCCGAGATGGAGAAAGTGATGAAAGGGGTCTTTCAGTACTGCAAAGACCCGAGGAGCAGAGGCAGAACCACTGCAGCCGGACGCCACGACGGTCTGTCCCCCTTTCGGGGGCCGGGAGCTTTTAGCAGTTTGAGTTGCCATACAATGTACGATCACCTTTCGGCACCGTCCCCCCCCCTCCCCACCCACCACGGAGCCCATCTGAGGACGGCCCAACACTCCCTCGGGAGGTCACCGACAGGGCTACCCCGGTGCTATACAGGGCGAGCGACGCCTCCCACACGCCTGGTGTATCCGGGAGACTCCTTCCCGTTCTGACCGTGGTTCAGCGCCGCCGCCCAAAGCGGAGACCCGCACGGAGCACCCAGCCGCAGCACAAGCGACAAGCTACTAGACCCATGTGGGGTCCCACGGGCTCCCCGCGCCCCCGGATATCTTGGCCGAAGTGGAGTGTTGGGACGCGCGGCGACTGACCCGCAAGACGCGCCTTTCAGCCACCACGATCCGATCAACCCGAGGACGCGGGCGAGGGGACACGGCGACCCCAATAAAACAAGGATTAGGAGTGATGAGCGGGCCGGATGCGGGAAAGCGGGTAATGGGAAGAGAGCGGGAGGAACAAGGAGCGGGAGCTCACGAGCCGGCAGGGTCGCTACGCTCTGAGAGGAACAGCGTGCGCTGTCCACCCGTTACCGGAGCCAGGACCCGAGGGGGTGCTAGTCCCTACACCGACCGAGAGAATCGGCCTCAAGCTGAGAAAAGCCTAATCACAAGCTGCATATACTCTAAAATACAAAATGAGTGGGTACACAGAACCCATCTTATTGGCTGCAGATTAAAGGCCAGCCGTCTAAAGTCAGCTGTGCACTTATTTTTTCCCCAATAAAATGCCACTTGCTGCGTGATATACAAACGAAATTCACATTGTGAGGCATAAACCACCATTACCACAGGACAGCAGTCGACAGCAGCGCACCAAAAAATCACCCTCTCCCCGTCGATCCCCTGACGCCAGGGCGCCACGCCCTCACCTGCAGCTGCTCGTGGTGGCGCACGCGGACCGTCTCCAGGAGGCGGCGCAGCTCCGCGATGCACAGCTCGCGGTCGCGCACCTGCTCCTCCAGCCCAGAGGCGACGGCCTCGGCGCGACGGCGGCCCTCGTCGCCGGCGCCGGCCGGCGGCGCCGCCTCCAGCTGCGCCCAGGGCTCGCCGCCGGCGGCCGGGTCGGGCGCGACGGCCGGCGCCGGCCGCAGCTGGCCGACTGTCAGCAGGCGCCGTTCCAGGTCCAGCACGCGCGCCTGCCGCCGCATCGACACACGGTCACCGCACCCGCTCGCCCGACGGGCGGCGCTTCAGACGGCGGCCCATCTCGGACCGGCTCTTTCAGACGTGGGCTCGGTTCGACGCATGCCTTGCACTAAGGCGGCACGACGAGGCGTTTCGTCACATTAGTGGTTCCATACCACACCGAATGTTGTCCTAAACGACAGCGTCCTTGACCTGCAGCTACACCATATAACAGAGCAGCATTTCGTGCAAATAAATCTGCCATCACATTTACTCCTTACACATGATAAGCACACATCATGCACCACATACGCAACGCACACGACCACGCCGTCACGCCTTCCCCGACCCAGTGCCCGCCACCGCATCGGCGCCAGTTAACCGCCCCACGGCGGCGGCTCGGACGCCCACCTCGAGCTCGGCTTTGCGGACGGCCTTCTGCTGGGCGCAGGCCAGCTGGCGGCCAGTATCCAGCAGCTGGCGGCGTGTCTCCTCCGCCTGGCGGTCGCGCTCCTGCAGTTGGCGCGTCAGCTCGGCGGCGGCGCTGCGCTGCTCGGCCAGCTGCTCGGCCAGCAGCTCCAGCTGGCGGCCGTCGTCGGCCGCCTGCTGCTCCAGCCGGCGCGCCGCCGCCCGCTGCTCGTCGGCCGCGCGCGCCGCCTGACGCTTGACCAGCTGCAGCTGGCGGTGGCACTCGGCCACGTCTACAGACATCACCTGCACCTGGTGACGGAGGTGGCGCGTCACGCATCGAGACTGGCGCGTGGCCGACCCCGTAAAAGATCCGGGAGACCGTCTAGGAGGTCAGCATGATCATTTCAGCCAGCCAAACGGCAAGGGGACAATACATCAGTTATATTTTCGCGGACCTGGAAGCCTCCAATCATTCTTTATTTGAATTTCGAATGGACTACTCCCAAACGGATTCCAAATCATGTGCATATGAGGCAGATTTCGGTGCATATCTGACAGCCAGTTCTACGATAGGTGAAAAGTTCTATTAAAATCATTTTTTGTCACGAGAGGTGTGAACATATCTCCCTCCATCATCTGCTAGTGGTGAAGCCCATGTGAAAACACTTCTGTAAATTTGGTTGCATAGGAGAACTTTCCAAGAAAGATAATGATTTATATTTCAAGGGATATTCTGAGTTCATTCTTTCTATGCAACGCAAAAGGCCTTACACTGAAATTTTGGGATGCAGCTATGTCCGTAATAAACAGTCGGGTCTGGTCTGGTATATCCCTATGATACTGTCTCCCCACTGCAACCTTTCGTTCAAACCGAACGACCAGCGCTCAGGCTATCCACCATGTAGTGTACGCAAATGCACCAGCGGTGATTTCGTGACACTGGCCTTACCATAGCATCAGTTCGCCACTATGGTCACCAGCGTCCTCACCACTACCAGAAATACAGTCCCCCGGCGAGCCTTTGTCTTGCCTGTTTGCGTACTGCTGTCACGAGTGAACAGCGTACAACGAACACTATAAGCTGCAGGCGCCTCGAAGTGTTTTTCTCTTGTGTCTTCGGTCTTCCTTTTCTGAACCAAGATCACCCATCTCAGCGATGATCCATCCCTCCATCATACGACTCCCGCCCGGTCGACTGTATCCCCATTGTACAATTCCACCGCCCACCCACATCCCGCATGGTCTAGTGGCTAGGATACACGGCTCTCACCCGTGAGGCCCGGGTTCGATTCCCGGTGCGGGAACGGCTTTTACTTCCTTTTTCCTTAACATAACGGGGAACGAACGAACCTTCAACTTTGAGGCTCCTACTTCAACTTTAACAACTACCCCAAAATCAAAAATTCCCCAACGACCGGACGGACGTCTACCATGCCTGTCCATAATTGCTACATACGTCCCATATTCTCCATCGACATAATCATATCCCCACCATACTGATCGCCGTCCGTCACCCTCATCGCCAGCACCCATCTACCGCGACCACTTGTGACCGCTGACCCCGGCAGCCGTCTCCCAGCCGCGGCCGCTGACCCCCGCCGTGCCGACTCGCTACCCCGGCAGCCGGCTCGCAGCCGCGGCCGCTGACCCCGGCCGTGCCGACTCGCTACCCCGGCAGCCGGCTCTCAGCCGCGGCCGCTGACCCCCGCCGTGCCGACTCGCTACCCCGGCAGCCGGCTCCCAGCCGCGGCCGCTGACCCCCGCCGTGCCGACTCGCTACCCCGGCAGCCGGCAGCCGGCTCCCAGCCGCGGCCGCTGACCCCCGCCGCGCCGACTCGCTACCCCGGCAGCCGTCTCCCAGCCGCGGCCGCTGACCCCCGCCGTGCCGACTCGCTATCCCGGCAGCCGTCTCCCAGCCGCGGCCGCTGACCCCTGCCGTGCCGACTCGCTACCCCGGCAGCCGGCTCCCAGCCGCGGCCGCTGACCCCCGCCGTGCCGACTCGCTACCCCGGCAGCCGGCTCCCAGCCGCGGCCGCTGACCCCCGCCGCGCCGACTCGCTACCCCGGCAGCCGGCTCCCAGCCGCGGCGCGATCGGTCGGCGCGCCGCCCGCTCACCTGTTTCTTCAGCTCGCGGTTCTCCTCCTCGAGGCGGCGGGTGGCGCGCGTGCGGTCGAACAGGCGTCGGTTTCTGTGGGCGTGCACCTCGCGTTTGTACCGCTCGTACTGCAGCAGCTCGTGCATGAGGCGGGCGTTGGGCCCCACGTGCGTGACGTGCTCCTTCAGCAGCTGGTGCGGCGACGGGAAGGCCTGCCGGCACACCGGAGCGCCGCGTCACGACTTTCCAGCCGGCCGGTCACGACGGTGTGCCGGTCCCGGCGTCAGGTCAGAGGACAGGCGCGAGTGCCCAGCACACGACCACGCCCCCACACACCCCATGCGTCGCGGCCGTTCAGCCTTAAGTGGTCGATGCATTATTTTGCCATCAACAGTGGACATGTGGATGCGGTGTGCAACTGACAGGTAAGAGTTGAACTGACCACCAATGAAAGATGCAGCTGACGCAACTAGCTCGGAAGTCATCCGAACACAAGAACGCAGAATCTACTACGCTCTCCAGTCACGCATGGTCGACACGACCCCGGCCGCTGCCGATGGAGGGGAAGGGGCCTGACCTGCGGCGCTGGCGGCTGCGGCGGCAGCGCGCCCGTCAGCAGGTGCTCGTAGGGTGCCGGGTGGTCCATGTCCTCGGTCTGGCAGGCGGCGTCGGCACGGCGACCGGGCGCTGACGGCCGCGCCACGGCCACAGCCCCCGACGCCGCCTCCTCCGCCGCCATGGCCGGACACGAGCTGGTGCGCCGGTACTGGCGGCCCGGCAGCACGTGCTGGCTGTAGTAGCGCGTCATGTGGCGCACCAGGTCGAAGTCGAAGCGACTCTGCGGCACGGAGGCGGCCATGCCGGCCGGCGGCGGCGGCGAGGCGTCGTCGTCGCGCTCCGGCGGCGCGCGGCCGGGGATGGCGGCGGGCACGGCAGCCAGCGGCCGCAGAGGGTGCTGCTGCGTCAACTGCGCCGTCGTCGAGGCGAACGGCGTCAGGTTGCCGGGCGACGCGGCCGGCGGCGGCTGGCGGGTCAGGTCGCTGACCTCCAGGTCCTCGGCCGAGTGGTCCGACACCTCGTGCCACAGTGAAGAGCAGTGTCCGGGCGTCGGCGGGCCGCCGCCGCCGCCGGCCGGCGGGCCACGCCACAGCTGCCCGCTGGCGTCCGAGGCGCGGGGCACGGGCCGCGTCACCGGCGGCGCGCCCTCCGAGAACTGCACCGGCGACACCACGCCCACTGCCGGCGCGCCGCGGCCACGGGTCAGCGGGGACACAGGCAAGGCACCTAGGCTGCGGTACACCGCACACAAGGGTCAGCGGGACGCAGGTGACGCGACGGAAAAATGCATCGATGGCACGGGTCAGTCGGGCACAGGCAAGCATTGCAGGCGTTGCAGGTATGCATATCAACGCATGACTGGTGTGCTGAAATTACCTGAAATAAAAAGGTGTACTGAAATTACCACCCTATAAAACCTCGTCCGGGAATCACTTTTAACAATGTCGAGGAGATCTACCGCGGCAGCGAAATAGCAGACCAAGCAGAAAGTATGCAGCCGCTGGTCTGGGCCAGTCACCCAGCCGCTCGTCATCTCAGCTGGGGGTTGCGGGTCCGCACAGCTCCAAGCAAAATGGTACGCACATGCAGCACGCGTGGTGAAGAAAGCTGGTGCTGCAAAACTGTCTGAACAAGAACACGATCACCGTGTATTGTCCATTTTTTCGGGCCGTGGTGAAGCGATTGTCGGGATCGCTCATAGAAGCCTCACACTTGCACTTTTAGGCCGAGGCTGAGCGTGCTACCATTGTAGCCTAGGTTAATCTGTTCATATCATTGCATAAATGAGGCAATTCTAGGACCGTAAAGCCAGTTTTCTGGAATTGGCCTCTAAAGCTCTGATTGTCCATTTACAACAATTTCCCGGGATTTTTCTTCTCCCCGCCCTCACCGTCAAACTAGCTGATATCTTAACTGATCACTATTTGGGCTTTTTTCTCCATCCGCAGCCAATGTCTGTTCGTTGCCCTTTGTCAACAATTTGGGTCTGAACAAATCCTGTGAAAGGAGATACCCTATTTCGTAACACCCGGTTTTTATTTCATTACGATCTGGCGGAATGTTCGTCCATGCAGGGTTCGTGACACGATATATGTTATTAGTTTCGCTTTCGGGAAACACGTTAGTTCCAGCGTATTGCAACAACTTTAGTTCCAATCCCAGCTCTGTGATTTCAGAGCACTGATGGCGGCGAAGTACTGGATATGAGCTAGCTCTTCTCACCGGCGCCTCGATAACGTCGGCCTGCTGTGGTCATGACGCTTCTCCGTACATGCCTCATGTGAGTTCGGACGGGCTGAGTTTGCTCTGTGTTGTCCCTGTGGTGCGCTCCGCCTCTCACGTGTCAGTGGGACGGCACCAGGCTTCCCCAGCAAGGGCCTGCTCCCCGTCTCCGGCGTGTGTTTGATGCTCACTTCACCAGCGCGTCTCACATTAGAATGCCACGGGATGAGCTTGCGCGCCGTGAAGCCGGCGGCGCCGACCTCGCGCGTGAGACCGAGGCCACATTGGGCGGCGGCGCCGCGGCCGGGCGCCTCTCACGTTTGAGTTTGATGGGGCTGAGTTTGCCGGAGGTGCGCCGGTCGCGCAGGCCACTGAGCGCGGAGCCGGGCTGGCCGGCCGCCGGCGAGTCGTCCGCAGCGCGCCGTTGCTCGCCGTCGCCGCCTACCGAGCAGAGCCGGCCGCCGGGTGTGTCCGCTGCCACCGCGGCCGCCCACCACACAGCACGGCACAGCACTGCACGCCGGCCCGCCAGCCGCCGGGTCCCGCGCCGCTCGGCCCGGCCCTGTCCCGCTCCCGCGCCCCAGCTCCACGGGCACAGCGCGCATCAGAAGCAGGCAGGCTGGCATGCTGTACACAACTGCTGTATGCACGCGCAAACTTCGCGTTTACAGCAAGCTATCTGGTTTAGCCCGCATGTAAAAACTAAGCAAATGGGTTACGCGTAAATGTACAGTTTGTTCAAGAATCTTCGGTAAAGGGGTTGAGCGTGTCGAAGTCGGCGCGCAACAGATGACATTCGAAAACCATGAGCTGCAGATCCGTCTCACCCACTCAAAAAGCCACACAATTCAGCGCTCTGGGTAACAGGCATCAAAAAGACCGAGGTATCACAGGTGAACGAGGCAAGCAATGCAGTTTAAAGTCCTTACCTCTAAAAACAAGCAAAGAAAGCAAGCGGCGTAATTTCAAACATGAGCGAGTTGCAGTTCAGATGACGCACTCGGCTCTAGACCCTACAGCGCCAGCTATGTCCCATAACGGGCCACGAGCCAAAGGTGAACCCCACACCGCACACCAGTCCGCGTGTCCATGCCACCGGGGCATGCAGGCGGGGTCCGAGAACGTCTACTGACCTCCGGAGTCGGCCCTCTCGTGCAGTACCTGACCTAGGCGGCTGGAGAATGCGTGCGCCAGCTCACTGTCGCCGAACCTGCCGCACAAGGGATCTGTCACACGGAACTCCCGGAGTCGGCCCTCTCGTGCAGTACCTGACCCAGGCGGCTGGAGAATGCGTGCGCCAGCTCACTGTCGCCGAACCTGCCGCACATGGGTTCAGTCACACGGAACCCTCCTGGCTGCTAACGTACACGCCGCCTTTGAGCATCACTCACGACATCTCAACTACGAGATGTCACCATAGCCTGAACACGGTCACGCCCTCCAAAACGTGTACAAAGGCAATTGTCGTAAGGTGACATACGCATGCTGGTAGACGAAATGATCCGTTCCATTTCAATCAAACGACAAGATGTAGCAAATGCATTCCACGACACCGTTTCAGACCCAGTGAGCTAGGCAAGGGTAACAGAGATACCATCTTCTGGGACTGCCATCCGACCCCATATATTCTCAGGCTACTGACTACTGGGAAAGCAGGGTCGCAGCCACGCAATGTTCCGATCCATCTCGGCCACCGACGTCACCGGTCAGCTCGATACCCCGCGCGAGGCCCGACGTCGCCACGTCCACCCCGGAGGTCACTGTCTGCCAGCGGCGCCCGGCCACGTGACGGCCGCTGTCCGCGCGGCCGTCTATTTGCGGACAATAACACTGTGCACACCTGCGCAGGTGGCAGCGGCACAAGATGTTTGGGAGCAGTGTCAAAGCGCGCGGAGGCGGCCGACGCAGGTAAACAGCTCGCGCGCGAATCGATGCTGCTTACGCAACGCCGGCTCCGCGTTCCGTGCGGGCAGCTCGGCACTGGTCGAACTCGGCTGCGTTTTGCGGCATATGTCACAACAACGCAGGAAATGTTTCCAGGTCAGGCTAATAACGACGGCGACAAACAACAGGAGATGGCTTACAAACCAACCAAAATGGCTATTAATTGCTCACCAATTGCGTGTCCTTCGAGCGCCATTTAATCACATTTCCAAGCGCAATTCTCACCGTGAGGCATCATAACGACTAAGTGTACAAATCAAATAGGACGGGCGAACGGCAATCTTGGCAGTTTATCAGATCACAGAAAACGATGTACCAATTGCACGACGCACCATTTCCCTGGTACCACACTGCGAGTCGATCACAGCCGGACGCGAACCAGCACCATTGCCCTGGTACCACGCCGCGAGTCGATCACGGCCGGACGCGAACCTACCACACTGCGAGTCGAGCACGGCCGGACGCGAACCAGCACCATTCCCCTGGTACCACACTGCGAGTCGATCACGGCCGGACGCGAATCAGCGCCACCGGTCGCACCCCGAGACGTAACCACGACAGCCGGGCCGCGACCGGCCGTGACCGGTCGCCCCGGCAACCGGCGGGGCGGAGGGGGGGGGGGGGGGAGCACGGACCTGAAGGAGCCGGTCGCCTTCTTCAGCGGCGAGGACGGGATGGAGTCGGCACGAGGCTTCGAGCCCACCAGCGCGCTCAGTGCACGCGACGCCTGCAGGGGCCCGGACGGCTGCCGCACCAGCGGCGGGTTTTCCAAGTCCTGCCGGCAAGGGCGGCGTCAGGGAGACGTCAGGGAGGCAAGAGCGGCATCTTGGTGGCGTCAGGGACGGCCGATCGAAATCAAACGCTGAGGGACTGGCTGCAAATGGGGTGGCCGGCTGGTGATATTGACCTCCGTGGCAGCAGCGTGACCACACACCCGAAGACTTTCAGTGGTATGTCCACCATGTCTCATTCTTGTAATCCTTCCTTTGTTGACTTTGGGTGACGCTGCGTCCTTCATCTCTGTCTGCAGTGTGACAGCAAGCAAAACCATCATCCTCTGCCAGTGTCGAGAGCTCGCCCCGTGCGGCGTAGCTCCGGGCGTTCGACCTCGGCCGAATGTGCCTCGCAGTCTGATGGCCCACCACGCCGTGACCACCAGCCTCGATCTGCCCCGCCGCCGCCGCTCGCCGGGCGCGATCCTCACCCGCTGCGGCGTGACGGTGGGTGTGGGTGCCGGCGTGCCGTCCGGCGTCGCCTCCACGGCCGTCTCGCACTGGGCGCCGGCGCCGTCCGCCTCGGCCGGCGCCGGCAGCCGCGGCACACTGTAGAACGTCGCCGGCGACCACAGGATGTCGTGTATGCCGAACGCCTCCTGACCCAGGCCCATGTCCAGGCCCACGTCCGTGCTGCCCAGCGCGTCTGCGGGTGCAGCGGCGGCACGCACGCTTAGCGGCGGCCGCGGAAGACGCCCGGCAGCCATGTTGGAGGAAGACACGCCGCACGGCACCGCCACGGGGAGGAGGTGCCAGTGCAGGAGCTCTGCTCACTCTGAACGGTGCACATTTCTAGCGTAACCCTTCGCAGCAGCAGCGCGCCGTCTAAACAAATGCACACACGCATCTTGACATTAGCAAGGTCGCGGGCCACGCACAAGCAGTTCAGCGCACGGATCGCACAGGCCGAGTGCCGCCTGCCGCCGCGCCTCCACGGTACACACCCGTGTTGTCGGCGGCCAGCATGCCCCAGAGCGGGCCGCTCAGGTTGTCCATGGTGGACGCCTCCAGAATGTCCATCGAGAAGTGCGCGCACTCGGCCACGATGTCGTGCGTCTCCTTGCGCTGCCAGCGGTGCGCCGACGTCTCGGTCGAGTTGGAGCCCGTCACCAGCAGCGGATGCATGCGCACGTGGTCCAGCAGCGGCTGCGAAGCGAGGGGACGGGTGAGGGTGGCTGGCGCCGGCCGCAGAGACGGCGACAGAGGACGCACTGCCAGCAATCAACCAACGGTAGGGACTACGAACGGCCATTGGCGGATTATCAGCACTCGGAACAATCTCGGGGGATTGCGGGCACTGCGGGCGGGGATTTCAGCGGGGATTGTGAGCACTGATAGCAACTACGAGGAATTGCGGGCACTAGGGACGATCAGCAGGGGTGCGATTACTTGGGGCGACCTTCGGGATTGCGGACACCGGGGGCCATCAGTGGGGATTGTGAACACTCGGAGCGACCTCGAGGGATTGCGGACACCGGGGGCCATCAGTGGGGATTGTGAACACTCGGAGCGACCTCGAGGGATTACGGGCACTGCGGGCAACCAGTGGGGGACGAGAGCCCTCTAGCGATCAGTCAGGGATTGCGGCCACTGGAGCCAATCACCGGCGGATTGCAGGCGCTTAAGCGAACGGCAATGGATTGGACGCACTATAAGCGATCACTGAAGGGTTGCGGCCCCAGGAGTTACCGCTGAGAGGCTACGGGTACGGACAGCAAGCGATCCCCGACGGATTGCTGGCGCGGGAGGATCACCAGAGATTATAAAAACCGCAGGATATTCCGACGGCACAACGGACACGGAAGCCATCACCGAAGCATTGTGCGCACTAGGAGCGAGCTCAGGGGGATCACCGGGACAATTTGGGCACCTGTGGTGACCACGAGGGATCGTATCTTCGGCAGAGATTACCAGCTGGAGTTTGTTAAGCTCCCACCAACTTGCGGCGATAGTTTGACAAACAACAAAGCGCGGCGCCCCGATGCATAACTTATCATCCTGGCGTACTTTGCTGCCAGGAGCCGTCAGAATCGCAGCCGTGCCGAGCGCCGGCTCACCCGTATGGTGCGGTTGAAGAGCGGCAGGTTGTCGCGCTGGCCGTAATGCTGGCGCAGGAAGCTGAGCAGGTTGCACGGGTACATGGCGTAGATGCGCACGAAGTAGGAGTAGGTGGCCACGTGCAGGTGCAGGCGGAACGTCTGCCCCAGATGGGCCGACGGCGTGGACACCATCTGGGTCAGCCGGCTGGCGGACATGACACAGTCAGTCGGGGGGCCGTCTTCACGTGCACATAGATGGACGTGGCTTGAGTGCCACCGCATCAGGAAACAAACTTTTGGTTTGGACACGGTGCTGACACACCATAAACCCTGAACGAAAAACGCTTGTCATATACATCTCCACGGCGCAAAAAAAAAAACACAGCGAGACCTAAAGCGTACTGTTCATCACAGCAACATACCGACCCTGTTCAGACCCATAAAGCACCCCTCACTTCGCGCCAGCCTCCATGTGAACGCCGACACCAGACAAGGCACACCGTCCGCTAGGTGTACCGGCCGCACCTGAGCACTTGGAAGAGGTCCTGGATGAATTCGATCAGCGCGACAGGAAACATGGGCATCAGCGTGGTGAGCACGAGCGCCGCTGAGATGATGCACTGCACCTCACACTCCGACTGTCGGCACGGGCGGGGAGGAGACGTCGTCAGCGCACAACCACGCGCCGCCTAACGTGGCCGTCCCGGTGGACAGCGCGGGATAACGCCGTGGTCTCGCCTCGCAGCCAACGGCAAACGCCGCCATGGTTGCAACCACGTCTCTGAGATTGGTGTGTGTGGTAAGGGGGAGGGGTTTGATTTGAAGTGTTTGGACGGGTCAAACTGCGGGTCGGGCGGGACTAACTGACGACTACCTACCTGACATTATGAATAACCTGACCTGATAACCTGAACCTGACAACCTGATAGTCTGAATAACGGACTATCTGACATTATGAATAATAATAACGACAAAAAAATCCGTGGAAAGATTGCAGGAAACAAAAATAGCCTTTAGGGAAAATCAGGGGGGGGGGGGCATGCTCCAATGCTAACGCCCATGGCTGCAGCAGGCCCCAACCGCATCACCCCGTTCGATTGGCACCCGAAGCGCCGCGCTTCCCCAGCATGGGAGGAAAGCCTTTCCACGGGCGCATGCAGCATCGCCCTGTGTTATGCGTCGAAAACCCCAACATCGGTCAGCTCCCAGACCGGGCAAACCTAACCTATCCTATTATCCCACAGTCGCAGTGCGAACACTTGGTTAGCAAATGCATGTTCTGAAAAAAACAGCCAGCATCGCGAAACTGGGGCACCAGCCCGTCTTTGCAAGGCGTACACGTGTGGAGTGGGTTGACTCAGCCCGAGAGCGGCGGCCACGTGCAAACTGGCAATAACAGACGCCGGATGACGAGCTAATGGTGCCAACGACGGCTAATGTAAACAACACTAACAGTCAACTCCGCGTTGCGTCATGCTCACTTTGATAATGCGAAACAGATCCTTGACGATGCTCGGACTGGACTGAGTGACGATTTTGCGGAGCCAGACGGGATGTTTGCGGACGTAGTATCCCAGCAGGCGGAGGCCAGCCCCCCGCTGGTCCGTCGACTTAAGCAGTTGGTGCAGTCTACCGGACAGATGCCCGGTCAGGCGGCGCACGCGCAGTGCGAGCAAGATCCTGTGCCGCAGGGCCACCAGGGGTACAGCTGCTGGTGTGGGGTGACATGTGCGTACCGCCAGCAGACGGAACCTGACGGTGTGGTCTATGGGAAAGACATCAGGTTACGGGTAGAGTGGTGCACAACTGTGGGGGAAGGGGGGGGGGGGGGTATGTGACAGGGATATGGCGCCAATGGGTAGTGCATGTGATGCTTTCATTCCTCTTGTACAGCGTGCTGCCAGTGAAGTGTTTCAAGAGACATTGCATCGGGGATGCAACGTGCAGTAGGGGCTGACGTCATCTCTGTGCAAAGCCCGGTACACCCTTGGACTTCAAATAAGCAAGCTGACCACGAGTCCCAACCTAGATTTAAGATCGCCAGCGAACCATTAAGATCGCTAGATTTAAGAGCGTATGATGGCTGCGGAAGCAAACTCATATCTTGAAAGGCAACAGTGTGGCCATTTACAGAGCTTGTCTAGAGAAAGATAGAATTTTCGCGAGGTGCGGCCCAAACGCACACTCAGCTCTGGAAGACACTGTCACCACTGGCGCACTCCACACCGGTCACATCAAATCCGTAGCACGAACTGGTGCTGAGCGCGGGCGCCGGCCAGCGTGACCGACCTGTCGATGAGGGCGCGCGAGTTGCCGTCGCCGCACGACAGTAGGATCTCCAGGCAGCGTGCCGAGCCCGTGCAGACGTAATAGTCTATCAAGCCGTTGAGCAGCCAGGCCTCCCCTGGGGACCGCAGGTCAGACGTCAGTGGGATGAGACGAACTTCACACCACACCCGGACGTGGTGGCCAGAGCGGGGCGGAGACGAGCGGGCCGTCTGGACTGCTGCAGGTCACGACGGATTATTGGCGTCAAAACAAAACTGCCGACGAAATAGCGACATAAGAGTGCAAGTTATGGTACAAAACAACTCCCTTTTCTACTGCGATTCGCCCCAACCACGTTTTCTCTCAAATGTTGCGCAGTAGCGCGATAGTAAATTGACCCGAATTCGCCCCACGTTGACACATTGTTGCACCACTAATGTGTACTGGCCATTTGCTCGTCCCTGATTAGCCCGAATAGTGGAGGTTGGCAAGCAAGACACCATAATAATTGCGATGTACCCCCAGCAAAAGGCCGCCTCCTACCAACCCACCGTCTCCCTCCCTCCCTCCTCCCTCCCTCCCTCCCTCCCTCCTCCCTCCCTCCCTCCCTCCCTCCCTCCTTCCCTCCTTCCCTCCCTCCCCCTAGAACGAACAGGGAACAGACACGGCCCCACATCAGCCCTGATGTCGGCCGGGCAGCCGGGCAGCCGGGCGGCCAGCACGTACCGCTCAGACCGCGCAGGTTCTCGCGGAAGAGCTCCTTGATCTGCTGGGCCTCGTCCGTGTCGGCCTGCTCCAGGCGGCGGAACATGAGGCCAGGGTCGTCGAGGGGCTCGGCGGAGACGGCCGGCGGCCCGCCACCGCGCGACGGCATGCTGCTCATGGCGTCCGCCCGCCTGCTGGGCCCCAGGCTGGCTCAGCTGGCACATGTGATGGCCACACAACATCAGGTGGCAGATGGGGTCACACAAGGTTGGGTGACAGATAATGCCACACAACATCAGGTGGCAGATGGGGTCACATAAGGTTGGGTGACAGATAATGTCACACAAGGTCAGGTGGCAGATGAAATCACACAACATATGGTGGCAGATGTGATGGTCACACAAGGTCAGGCAGCAGATTAGGTCACATTAAGTCAGGTGGCAGATAAGGTCACCCAATGTCAGGTGACAGATGTGATGGCTACACATAGTCAGGTGACAGTTGAGATGGTCAAACATGGTTAGATGCAAGCTGTAGTGGTAACACATACCCATGCAACATGTGCTGATGGTCACCCATGACATAACATAATGTGGTCATGGTCACACATGGTGATCACACACATTAATGCCACATGGTGTCTGTCACACACGGTCAAGTGTCACGTGGTGACGATCAATATTAGCACTGAATGGTGCCAGTCCCACACAGTACAGAGTGAAACATCACCAGCAAGTAGACATCAGCAATGTTCAATGACATGCATTGCTATAAAAAATAGCTGCGGTCTTCGGGCACTGGAATGTACATCATGCATGGCTGTTTGGCTGTTTTGGATGGATTATATAGTCTGATGAAGAATGATGCATATACACATATGAAAATGATGAGCAAGTGAGCATATGAAAATGATAAACATGAATTAAACACAAACTCCTCCCAGTGATGACAAGATCAGCTGCCTTTATACCATCACCACTTATGAACATGAACTAAACACAAACCCCTCCCAGTGATGACAAGATCGCCTGCTTTAATGCCATCACCACTTAGTATATATGACTCTGATCAATGACTTGAATAGTGCACAGGTGGCTGTCATATCAGAATTGTTATTCTTGTAACCCAGGTTGATCAGGATACAATATCTTATAAGGGCCCCAACTGAGAGAACCTGCACAGATGTCTACAGTTACAAACCCTATTCTTGACTGAGAATAAGGTTGTTATTATGATACTGCACATTGTATGGCAAACAAACTGACATTATTGACATGCATCACCCAATAATAACCAGCTGATCCACTGCTACAGGCACCAATCCACATTCCAGCATTTTCCAGATATGCACAGTCTATTTCTAAACCCAAACTAGCTCACATTCTGCTTAATAAACATACAAACATATTAATATTCATTAGTCTGTGTTCTGGCTTTGGATCCACCACTGCAATGTTCAGCAGTACAGAGTGGAGGTGCTAGCAAAGGATCACTAGCTGGGGTGAAATCGGGGTGTGGTGCAAGCCTCACAGACTGTTTTTATTGGTTTGTACTTTACATCCAAGACAGATCCATGTCACAAAATCCAATATTGTTTTTTTAGAACAAATTTTCCAAGACTTAAAAACCTTATAACAACCCGAGAATCTGATCTTGGCTTACCAAGTGATTGAATAGGTTGATGGTCCTGATGCCCAAGATATGCAGCTGGCTAAAGCACAACACACATATGAGTACCTGGAAGTTCAGAGCCCACAAATGACACAAAAGTAGGCCCAGAAAAATAATTCCGGATTCTTTTTTTGGGTGGCTGGCTCATAAACAAGTGCCACAGTGCCACAGTGGTTACACCAACACCAAGGTGGTTCCACCAGTGTTCTAACAAGGCTGACAAATTTTTCCAATCAAACAAAAGTAGGCAAGATACATTTTGAGTTATAATAGAAAAAATGTAAGATAAACCAAAATGATCTCAACTGAAAGTTAAATTGACCTGTGGCAGTAAAGTGCCTTATGTTTTTATGGCATATGGTTCTGTGGTGTTGTTATTTTTTTGGCGGATGTTGGGCTGATATAAAATAAGAATACTGATAGGCCAATAAATCACAGTAGATTCTGAATGCTCCATGGAAATCCAGTGGTGGAAAAGCATGTGACAGTTTATATTCTGCATGGATTCTCAACGCACATGACATCTGAAAATTTACCCACAGTCATATTAATGTGGAGCATTATCATTAAGTCATTTGTTTGGAATTACTAGACACCATTAGAAACACAAGTGAACTGAGAATGACATAGCTGTAGATCATAGATGCATATATAGCTATCCCATGCAAAGGTTCACATGCATGATGTCTGCAGCCTCTCCCTAACTTGTTACTTTTGATTCCTGCATGCAGTAGGTTTATTATAGGCATATGGACCATTACTCAAGCAAAATGCTGCTGTTTAGGTGCTTCAACATATTTGATTCTGATCACAACATAGTCTTTCAGTACTCTATTAAACAAGAGGATGCTACCATCAATCCTGCACTTAACACACTGAGGAACTGTGTTCCTGAGCAATTCATTGATTGATTGAATTTGGAATTGAAAAGGAATTGACTGATTGAGGAATCCTGAAGAAATTGAGGAAAAAGAACTGAGGAGCTTAAAAGTGCATTGACAGGAATGCAATTGGAAGTCTAAGGCACCCATTTCGCTAGTAAATGGCTGCACCAAGAAGGTATCTCAGCTATTTAAATAGCACAAACCATCAATCACCTTTTGATATCCAGCTGGAGTCACATAAATATCTAATGGGAAATACACATCCTTCACAAAAGATGATGTTCATCAGCAATTCAGCACTTGCCACATCGATGAACCATGCTGAGCCCCAGGGTGCGTCAACGGGACAGCAAGTCGCGAGCCTCGAGAAGCGACTGACGGCACAGAGTAGGTATCTTACTAATCTGAGGGGCGTAAATTGCCACTCACCTTTTGATACCCAATTGGTGTTATTCAGTGCATACATTCATGCTACAAAATTTAAGTGAAATCCTAATTCGTCAGGACCCTTGATATCGGTTGGCTCAAGACATCCCGACACAAAGCCCCAGCGGAAATTGTCCGCATGAAAACGCTGCGGCCAACCCACATAGAAATACTACATGAGCGCCAAAAACAAGCTACCAAGCGCCAGAATGGTCTTAAAATTCTAGCTTCTTTTCTGATATGGTCCAGCTTAAATCACATGTAAGCCTGGCGGCAACATAAATTTTTTTTATATAAGCTTATCATATGGCAAGCTAGAGGATACATTTTAACCTTGAAATTAAAATATATACTTGGTGTATAGTAGGCAATAACTGACTTATTTGTCCAGTACTCCAGTAGTTATTTTTTTAGCTGTAACCAATGTGAATCAAGGATGTAACCCAAACAAGCCCTCCTTATTGACTAAGGACCAGACTTGTGGCCTTGCATGAGATGGTGTGTTGTTCCGGGGTGGCATATATGTCCGTTGTGACGGCTTCTTAGGTGGTTGCTGATGTTAGATATCTTTATGTAAGCGGTTTTGTGGTTGTGGTTTAAGCAAGATGTGACGAATAGTTTTCAAGAAAAGCCGCAAAGCATCCTGCCATGAGCCTCACCGAGATGGCGTATACAAATGAATTTCATCACCAGAGAACTCAAGACAATTCATGTGTTGCTCGGACAATCAGCTATTTGATTCACATGAAGCTGTCAACTCTAGTATTCATCCTTATCATACTTCTGATATCCATCCCACTGATGATGCATTATTATGTGTCTCAGGTATGTTGTAATATTATGATTTTAGGTGTATGGTTCCATCCATGTGGTGGAATGGGCGGGAAGGCATTTTATGTATGCATGTGTGCAGTATTTAGGGTCTTCATTGATGTATACCTTTGCTGCAAGTCATGTGATGGTTGCATGGCACAACAATTGTTAGCAATGGGTTTTGCTGTTTTATTTGACAGTGCGGAATCTTTGCATTTCTTGTGCCGGTTTTTAATGATACCATTTTTGTCTTCCGGACAGTGTCACAGGAACTATGACATAGGGATTGAGCAATTGGATGGAGAGGTTTGTCTGGAATCTAGGCTAGAAATCAGCATTGCTTTCCAAATTTTCCAGTACACAGTCATTGCTGTATGGTAATATATTATTTTATGGCTTCTTTTCATGCACCATGGTTTATTCTTTCAGATTCTTGCTCATCAGGGTCAGGTGGCTCAGAAGTCCCACCCTTTGGTCACCAGTATGAGCTTGCACAGTGATAGCTCTTCAGCCCACATGAAGAGTCGCATAGATGAGATGAACCGCATCAAAAGTAAGTGGCTAAAGGCATTGTAAAGTTTCAAGATGCATTTTAACCCTTTGGAATCACCCATGCCCATCTTGCAATAGTTATTTATGAGAATCTCAAGATACAGCAATCAAGCAGGTTGATTTTTAATAGGCTGGGATGATGCCTAGACAGTTTTGATCACAGCTTCACACCTCCCAGGTCTAATCTTGATGTGGTGTTTTGATACTCATGTCATATTTCAAGCCATGCAATAATATAGACTGCATTGTTAGGTATTTTAATGTGTCAACAATATATTTGATGATATGCTTTGTGATCCTCCTGTGCAAGTCCAGCCCCTGTGTAAAAGCTTCGTCATCCCTGAAGCAAAGAGCATAAGAGATGTTAATGTTAATTATGTCAGTTGTTAACTTCAGTGTTCAGTCCTGATATTAATATTGTGATGCATATGATGCACCAAACTGTAAATAGAACTGATTTCATTTATTGAAATGTATCCAGGAATGGACAAGGCTCAAAATCCACATTTTTTGTGTTCTTCTAGAGGTCTTGATTGCTTCCCTTTCATAACGAAGGGCATATTCAGTTTCAGCTTGTCAAGGTTAAAAAAGATTGCCATTTCATGAAGTTGTCAGGGAGAGGTTCAATGACAGCACTTATGGTTGTTTTTTAGGGTGGAGGGGCTGTATGATTTACTCAGTAGCTTAGGCTGCATGGTGGAGGCTACTGACTCACTCTGGTGAGGAGAGAGGCAGTGTGGAGATCAAACAGCATACCTTTGGGTTCCCAGGCACTAGGTGGGACCACTGAGTTGCTGGCACCCTGGCTACCTTGCTGCAACATTGCATAGCTATATTTACTGTAAAATATTTGAGAGCTATTGCACCTTGTAATTGTGTTGAATCAGAAATTCATTTCATGTTATTGCTGGGAATGCTTTGTTTATATGGGACAATTGAGGCTTGTCTCATTATGTCTTTTTTTCTTTGGCTATCTCAATAATGATCATAGCATTTCTTGATTTGTTTGTCCTCTTTGATAGTTCAGATTGTTAGAGTGGTTGCCTTCTGATTCACTCATTCATGGTAGGGTGGGCTCGAGTTGCTTTAGACGCTCGCTATTTGTCTCGGACAGGGACAACCTACGGTCGGTCCCGTGGCATGGGACACTAAAGGTCAAGTGACGTCAGAGGGCAGAACGGACGGTGTCGAACGTTGCGACACGCTAGCTTTCGCCGAAATGTTACTTCCATCTGGAATTTTGCGATCGTGTGGTGGGGCCAGGGCTTGCGCGACAAGCACGAACGTGGACTTTGGTCTTTAAATTCATCCTGTCAAAAGTTTCGGGCCAAACCTTAAAGCAAAATAAGGAATTGCAGCAGTAGAGATAACCGATCGGTTTATTATCGAGCTATGGTTGGGCGTCGGACCACCTTTGTTGACAAATAAATGCATTGCAGGAGAACAGGCATGACCGAAAGATCGTTTATCAAGCTATAGTTGGTGGTCAAATGATCTAAGCAATCATCATTATCACATCAGTACTAAAGTGTGTGTCTCCCACAGCATATGGGGCAGACAGAAGCACGCTTATGCTTTTATATCCTTCACTCGTCCGCTCCACACTGGATTACGCATGCTTTGTGTAAGATAGCGCGTCCAAATCCAGCAAGCGTGTTGTTGACACCGTCCACCATACTGCCATTCGTATTGCTACTGGACGTTCCGCACATCACCTTCCGTCAGCCTTTTAACGGAGGCACACGAGCCACCACTTTCGATGAGGAGGAAAATGCTCGGCATACGTTATGCCTTAAAGCTGCGGCAGTTCCCACTTCATCCGACATATTCTGCAGTATTTTCTCGGATTACCGTAAGTTCCCTTCGTCATGGGCCGCAGCAGCACGCTTTAGCTTTTGGTTTCCGAATGAGAGCCTTATTGCTGGAGGGCGGAATTCCTTTTCGAGGTGCAAAGCAAGTAAGCCACCTGGCTTCTCCTCCTTGACAAGTGACCATACCCTTCATTGACACCTGGCTTACGGAAATTAGGAAAAAAAGACGCCACACCACACCTAATGAGATCCAGGGCACTTGAGCTTCTGTCGTGTTATGAAGGATACAGTCTGACGTACACAGACGGATCCAAATCTCGGATGGCGTGGGTTGTGCGTTCATCAGCGGTTCCGTCGCTCGATCGTTCTCGTTACCGGCCCACTCGTCAGTTTTCATAGCGGAATTAATTGCGACTACCAAGGCGATATGTTCATAGAAGTTGGTGAATAATCTTCCCACGCCATTTTTACAGATTCACTGAGCAGGCTCTCTGCACTGAAGTCTTTTTATCCATGATGTCCCCTTATACAGGACATTTTATCACGCCTGACACAGTTGAATCGGGTTGGAAAGAGAGTTGCCCTGTGCTGGATCCCCAGTCACGTCGGTATCGTGGGCAACGAGTTGGCTGATGCTGCTGCCAAGCGAGCAGCGGTGGCACCATATACCCGGTTTTTTCCTATCCCTGCCAGATATTTCTACCCGGCAGTCAAGACCTTCCTGAGAAGCAAATTGCAGCGTCGTTGGGACCAGGTGGGCGGCAATAAGCTCAAGGCGATGAAAACCGAGTTGGGCTTGTGGTCGTCATGCTCTCGCAGTGTGCGGTGGGAATAAGTGGTTTTACGCAGGTTGCGTATTGGGCATACGTATGCCACCTATGGCCATCTGTTGCATGGAGCTGACAGACCCCCTATGCCAGCGGTGTGGTGCCGTTCTAACTGTCCACCATGTCATTGTATCATGTCCGTGCCTCATCGAAGAACGACGACGTCACTTTGGTCCGCAGGCTTCGCCCCTGACGATTAGCGATGTGCTCGGGGACAGTTCCTCCCTTCTTGATTCCAAACAACTCTTTTCGTTCTTAAAAAATATTGATTTCCAAGTCATTTTCACACCGTACTAATTAAGTAAAAACATCGTTATGGGCGCAAAATGACCATTGAAGTCGACGCGCCCGAAAACACCAATGAACAACAACAACATTATCACATCAGGTTGTGATACCTGATGTTAGGCACAGATGTCCGTGGCAGATTTCTTCGCATATTGCCTGAGGATGATCTGCTTTGGGGACATTTCAGTACTTAAATCATTGTATCGTATGCAAAGCTTTGTATCCCACTCTGCATATGCTATTTCTTCGCGCGCTGATGAACCAGTGATGATGACTTGCGCCGAATGGCAAAATTTTGCACTGACGAAGGTGCATTTCGTAATATTATGCATCTGCTAAACGTGATTTAGCTAAAAAGGCATGCAGTTTAATATGTTTTGGCTTTCGAAAGATCATTTTTGACGCGGAGAGCCTCAAAAGGCCTAAATTTGCTCGAAGTCCCGAGACAGCACGATAAAGGACGATTAAGGTCGTTCGAACTGTTGGCAGTGGGCTAATTGACGCCATCTGTCGGAACAAATACGTTTTCAATAAATAACCAACTTAAGCTCGCATGCAGGGATATATTCGGGCTCAATAAAAGAAAAGAAAAATCCGAACATTATTGTCAACTCTACCGAGAACTAAGGGTTACATTGAATTTCAGAAGTCCTACATCGATTTTAGAGCAAGGCCACCTATTAATTATTTTGTTGATAAGCAACCAATTCAATGCACATTGAGTTTGGAATCATAAGACATGCTACAAACAACGGTGCTAAATGTATCAAAATATGATGACGACGTTGGTACCCGATGTTACAAACAACAGTGCTTAGAGTGTCGAAACACAATGATGACATTGATA